TACCTCTGCATTTTCCCTCAGTCATTTTACACAGAATTCCCTGTGCAATTATAACTTTAATGTGTTCCATTTTCCATTAAACAAAACAAAACAATCTAATTCATTATTCATTGGCTGATTACTCTGTCCAGTGCTTAGAAAAATCATCGTGGAGAATTTGGAAGTTAAGAACTTAAATCAGCTACAAAAAAATGTGTAATTTACACCAGTTTTTTTTTCACTCTGACAGCTACCACACCAGCTTCATGCAGGTTAGTGCCCAGTATCATCCTGTGGCACACTTGTGTTATATCACCATAGCAACCTATCACTTCATTCATGCTTTTGAAAGACAATCTTCACTTCTGTCGCTACAGAGCATCAGCCTGATGTTGCTGCTATTAATACATGTGTATTCCAATTTTTTCCTGTTGTTTTCTCTTCCTTGTTTCCCTTCTACAACACTTTTGCTACTCACCAACTAACAAAGCAGAAAAGTACCCATTTAAGGTCATTTTAAAGGTACTTTTAATGGAATAATGAAATCACAAGGACATCCACCTCCTCCATTCATCAAAATGAAACCAGTAATTTACTTTAATTTAAGTCCGTGCAGTTAAGAGGCCTTTGTGAATCCAATAGTAATTTGAGAAAACCTCAAAAAAAAAAAATCTAAGAGAGGCTTCGCGGGTAATATGGTTTAAATGGTCGTGTTAGTTCCCTGGTCTTAAGAGCAAAAACTGCACTGTGGATAGAGAATATTTCCACATACAGTAGATTAGAGGTTTAGTCAGACTCTCTCTTCCAAAGTAAGCAATATTCATGTTATTTGCAAAAAAAAAATTAAAATTGACATTTGATTCTCCGTGCTGTAGTGGTTAACAAATTAAACCAGGGATGGAAAAGATCCCTGGTTTCAGACCAGAAGACACAAACCCAATCTCAGGGTCACAAGCTCAGATAAATGTGTAGGTTGTGACAGGAAGGGCATCTGGCACAAATTCTGTGCCAAATTAAACATTTAGATCCATCTGCTGCGTCGACACTTGGGGAAAGAAAAAGTACTGAATGTACCTTCATTGCCAACTAATTTGCTTACGAAGTGCCACAGCCAGACTACTGACTGAGCCACTTCTTGTGTTATTTTGATCTAAATGATATGAATGTGTGTAGAGGAAATATCAGGAACCCTTTTATTAAACTGTAGCATGTAATTTAATGAAAAACAAGCCTAAACATAAAAAAGTCACATGCTACAGGTCATATTTAATTGATATGGGTGCTGACTGAGGCTCCCAAGCAATGATGTCTGATTATGGCAAAATGCCTTGACTCCTTTCTCTTAGTGCCTCTTCTTTGTTTCCTACACTGATATCTCTGGTTGGAGAGACAAGAACATACAAACTGACAAAGGACCAGTGAGATATAAAATACTCTTCGGAGTAAAGGTAACAATTAAAGTCTCTCTTTTGGTATCTTTCATAAAAGTTATAAAAGCACACAAACGTGCATTTGCTATAAAATCGAAGCAGTGTTCAAGAACTACACGTCCATCAGAAGGCAATGTCAGCACAACTTTTAATTGCTGAAAAATTTTTGAACCAGGTTTAAACGTGGACTATAAGCCGACCGAGTACTCAAAGTCATAATGTTTGCTGGGTTAGGTCACAGACTGTATAAGACCTAATGTGAGGATACAAATCCATGAGTATACGCTTTGTCCATGCATAGAATTACCTGCCAGGGCCTATCCCAGTCCAGAGGTATGGGGAATGCTCCAACCCAGGCTCCAACAAGTGTGCAGGCCACAGTGATCTGCAGGCAGGTGTCCCACACAGACATAGCTCTGGAGCCGGAGACAAAGAAAAAGCAAGAACAGTTACTATCTTCGACACAGAGACATGTGAAAAGCCAGGAGGAAAGAAAGAGAAGGAAAATGATTTCAGCCTTACCCATGGCGACTGAAGACTCGTATCCAGGCCTGGACGTTGGGGCCGAGGACACAAAGACACCTCAGCGTGGTTAACGAAGTCAGCAACACAGCAAGGGAGAATGTTTCTAAGGCAGATCTGTAAGAAATGATAGGTTCACGGTATCAACGACAACTGCAATAAGAGAGTTATTGACAGTTTTGTAGAAAAAGAATTTTTAAAACGCACATAAAAAGCAAGCAGAGACAAAGTAAAACACTTGACTTTGTATAAGTGACAGAATCCTTTCAGGGTTTGAAGATTTCTGTAGTTGCCAGCTGTTTTCATTCATTTATGTGTGATCCTTCCATGGATCCTCAGTTTATTGTGTATTACTGTCGTGATCGCTACTCTCTGCGTCTCTCTTTATCAACCTCTGTTTCACAAAACAATAACTCACTCGATCAGTGGAGCTCCGTATAAAACGACAACAGTGTGGAAGAACAGGCACGACAGGAAGAAGTACAGGCAGGAGCGAAGCAACCTCGACAGCTGCAGAAAAAAAAAACAGCGAGAAAACAGTCAAACTTTTAAGATCCAGATATAAAAAGATCACTTCCTGGGGAAAAAAATATATTGGTTTGATGAACATGCAAGAGTCAAGTATTCACATTAATTTATATACAAATAAGTCAAGATGTTTTTCTTTTTTTTGGAAAGGCAACTTCAATTTTACTTGCCATACCCTGTCCTGATTACTGCCAGACCTGTTGAATTAAAACATCACTTGAACAGAGCCTGTTGACAAAGTGAAGTAGTCTAAGAGGAACACATTACACCACAATCCACAAACAAAGACTGGGCAATAATAGCATCCATGGAAGAGATCCGAGGACAAAACCACTGCTGGTCTCATATTTGCCAAACAGCATCTTATTCATCCCCTAAGAATTTTGGGGAAATATTCTGTGGGCTAGCAAGACAAAATTTGAATGGGGCAATTAGTGTTTCACACAGTGCCAGGTCGGTTTGGAAAGCTTTTCCCCCTTAACAAATGAAACCCTCATTTAAAAACTGCATTTATTGTACTTTTAAAAAAAATAACAAAACAGCCCATGTGGCACTGCGGGCATTAATCCATCGTTATTAAAGCGTTATCAGCACCTTGTATCCCAGCGTGTGCTTCTTGGCGGGCGGTGTGATCCCGAGCAGCCAGAACACGGCCACGCTGACCGCGGTGACCGCAGCGGACACCGAGTAGAGCCACAGCAGGTGTGTGCCGTACACCGAGAAGCCCGGTAGGAGCACAGCAGGTAGCACCGTCGCCATGAACACCGAAGCGGCGATGATAGCGTGAGTGGACGCCATGGCTCTGATTTCATGGTCCCACATTGTGAAGGCTGTACCGAACTACAGCAGGACACCGACAAATTGAACACAAAACACTTTAAACCTCAACGTAACGCTGGAATTGTAGCACAGGTAACATCCATAGATGAATCGCTTGACCTTGTTTCCGTAAACATGGAACCAAGCTCACTTCCGCTTTCACTTCAAAATAAAAGTGCAATACTTCTTCCTTGTAGATGAGGCAAGACAAAGTTCAATAAATGTAAATTATAGTTTTAACAACTTTAAATATATTACAGACAGTCATGCATTTAGTATACATTTATTGCTGCCACAGTGAAACTAGAAAGCTTTCATCCAATACCATGGCACTACATATAACAGTAAATCAACACAAGACTAATTAAAGTACAAGTGTGCAAAAATGGCAAAAAACAGTGCAACACCAGATAGAGCAGAACCATACAGAAACGAGATGGTGCAATAATGACATTGTGTTGTGCAAAAAGACTTTAGCATTGTGCAATAAGTACTTGAGGTAATGGAATGTATAAAGGTGTGTGTCTGCCAGTCTAGTCTCTGAGTTTTCAGGAGTCTGACAGCTTGGAGGAAGAAACTGTTTCGCAGTTTGGCAGTGAGGGCGTGAATGCTCCGGTGTCTCTTGCCAGAAAGTAGGTTGGTGAAGAGTGTGTGTGAGAGGTGTGTGGGGTCCTCCACAATGCTGGTAGGTTTGTGGATGCAGTAGGTTCAATAAGTGTCTGTGATGGAGGAAAGAGAGGCTCCAATGATCTTTTCTCACTTTGTGCTGTATGGTCTTGCGATCTAACACGGTGCTGTTTCCATACCAGACAGTGATGCAGCTGCTCACGATGCTCTCGACACTCCCTCTGTAGTAGGTGGTGAGAATGGCTGGTGGGAGATGGGCTTTTCTCATCTTTCACATGTGAGACCTGGGCCAATGCAATCGGTCCAGTGTAATTCAATTCAAAGTGACAAAGTAGTCATTGAGACTTTTGTGTTTTTATATTTGTGTAGAACATTTTCTAATCCATTTTCAGATCTCTCAGCTGCTCCCTTTATGGGTCTGTGGATCATCTGCCTCCATCTCATCCTACCACTACCCTGCTCATCTGTCACACCAACCCTCTCCATATCCTCCTTTACTACATCCATAAATCACCGTTCATTTTATTATTATTGTGGATTTTGTTTTAAGCCCCTTTTACCTCAGATTTATTTTGGTTGAAAACAAATTGTATGTTTGTGGTATACTTGTTTGAACACAATCCTTTATTTAATCAGTTTCCCCATTTAATCAGAACATGTGAACACTGTCACATGTAGCTAGATGTGAACTATTATTTATCAGTGAGAGCCATTCTTTTTCTACTTTCACTGCTATAACGTTATTCTGACAGCAAATAGAAAAACGAGATTCTTCAGTGTTCTTTAAACTGTCTCTGCCTGACTGCTACAGTCGCCTACTGTTTGTAAGCTTTAAAAGTTATTTTTATTATTATTTATTGGATTTAATTATTTCACACGTATTTCACGTTATATTTCACACGTTATATTCACACGTGTGAAATAATGCAGCAGCAAACTTTTAATTTTTAAAGAAAACTTAGAGGTTTTCGTCCACTTTACAGATGAACAAGGGAAACTGCAACCAATTACAAAACGGGTTACTTGGACCCTCGCCGAAGGGCAGTACAACTAACCAATGGCATCTGAGATTTGAAATCTAGGCTTTGACCAATCAATCGCTTGCGAGCTGCACGGAAACGGAAGTAACGACCGGAAGTTTACATTAACAGAGAAAGCTAAACGCAGCTAACGCTTCAGCTTCTATTTTAACAAACAAAAAAGGACAATGGTTTGTGAAAAGTGTAGGTATCTCGCCATTCTTCTATCATTTAATTTATTTTAGATCTTCAATTCTAATGTCTTTTTTCCCGTTAAGAGAAGCTCGATGATCCTTAGAAAGCTGGCTAACGCTATGTGATGCTAACTGTTGTTATTACTGTCCTCACTGTTGCTTTGGTTGAGGAAAACATACCTTCACCTTCTAGGCTTATTTCCTTTAAATCCACTGCGCTGTTTTTGTTACATATGCTGGGTTGCTTTTTATCTCCAGGTGAGAAGAAGCTCGGTAAGGTCATCACTCCTGACACCTGGAAGGATGGAGCCCGGAATACAACAGGTGAACAGAGTAAAATCTGGATTTGTTTCAGTTCAATGGCATAATGTCACCAGTGTGCAAGGGCTGCTGGAAGTTTTGGAAGATTAAATAGAAAGATCACAATTAAAAACAACAGAAAATATATAGATAATACAACGGGGAGGGGGAAATTAAGCTTTTAAACCAAAATCTGAAATAGCGTTCAGTTAGTGTGTGATTTCTCTTGGTTTTTTGTACATTCTTAGGAGCATTGACTTAAAATATTAAAAATAAATCATTATATACTAAGTGACTCAAGGAAAGTAGTTTAAATACGTTCATGAACATGAATTTGGGGCTTTTAATGATTTCTTTAACCTTGTTGCTTTTATAGGGTGGAATAATTGTACAGCACAAATCTTGAATGACTTAAAACAAACAAAAGAAAAACAACAATAAGGTTTGTGGCATAATTCTGGCTGCTTATTTGATTCCATCCACTTTATGCAATCTACCAGTATCACTGGCAGCATGATGCTACCACCAGTCCTTTGCAGTATAAAAGTCACTTCACCGTGGAAATGAACAGTGGTGTTCGAAAAATTTCTAGTTCATGACCAATCTTGTGCCTTGGTGATTCCTCGTTTCCATCCTCATTCAAACCTTGGCAAAGTGCTAGCATATGTAAGTAGTTTGTATTTACATAGAGTTGTTTGAACTGACGATTTTGGAGTCCACAGTGGTTTAAAATTGCTCCAAGAAAAGTACCTAATTTGTGTAAATCTACAGTTCTGTTTCTTAGATCTTCACAGAGTTCCTTTGACTTTCCCATTGTTCTGAGTATTGATGACTCCAATGAGTGCTGTAAAACAAATTATTTTTGTGTTAGCAAAGCGAAACTACCAGTTGTAGTCAATCATGATCACTAAGGAGAAGTTAAGAGGTTTTGGCCTTGTCAGGTTAAAATACACCGTAGAACATTCAGCACCATTTATTGAAAAACTTCTGCGTGTATATCTTTGATCCTGTATGTATACTTTTGACCCGGTGTGGATTAGAGAAAATCCAAACCTGTTTTTTTGTTTTTGTTTTTTAAAGTCATTCAAGATGTGTTCTGTACAATTATACCCTTGGAAAAGGAACAGTTGAAAGAAATAATTTGAAGTCCAAACTTACTATTACTATTATTCAGAATGTACATACATTTACTTTGGGGATGATCTGATATTCTCTTTTCTTTTCTTTTAAACCGGTGATATTAACTCAAGATTATAAACCTACAATCATCTCTGACTTGCATATCTACAGGGCTTTTATCTGCAGTTTATGGAGGACATGGAGTGTAACATAACATACCAGCAGACCAAATCACAAACGTCCATACAAGATTGCCGAACAACCAAGGCATTTATTTACAATCAATTTACAGTAATAAAGTAAACAGAAAACCCCCCACTTATTTTTATTGCTAAAAAAGAAAAGAAGCACTAAGTTACATGTCAAAGCCTACGCAAAGACAAAGCCTACACTCCCTGTCTGGCCACAAAAGCTTCTGCTAACATACAGGTGAATTTAACCAAACACAACAGAACAGTGCAGGTCCCACAGGTTTGCCACAGTTCAACTCCCAAGATCACTATAAGTAATCCTGAATCAACATGCATGTCTTAGCTCGGTAACTAAATGGAAAGGGGCACTTACTGCTGGAGCTAATTACATGGAATTTTGCAAACAAGCATAATCCCGTTCAGCTCTGGCGTGAGGTGTGAGAGAACTGCAACAAAGAGCAGCTTTCTTTCATGAAGTGGCCAAACGACCGGAGGGCATAGCAGACACATAGAGAACTCCACTGATGTATCATGAGATTAGAAAGTAAATTTCTTTTAAATGGTTGAATATGTTTTAAACATTTATACACGTTATAACGTGACTTTGTGAACTTTAAAGGTTCTCATTTTGGTCCAATTTTTAGAATTTTACTTTTAAAGTTAACCTTTACTAAATTCTTACCACTAGATGACACTCTTTAACCATTAATTGTTTATGTAAGTGCTGAAGTGAGAAACAAGGAAATACCAGGTTTGCCCTGAGATTAGTGTGGTACAATGGTTAGCAGTGTCACTGTACTACAAGAAGGTTCTGGGTTCAAACTTCTTCTGGGAGCTGATGTGTCTTCCACAGAATGATAACATGCTTGTTAGGTTGACTATAAATCAGTTGTAGATGTGGAATTGAGAGTGAAAAACTGTCTCTCTCTGGTGGCTGTGTCTGCTGTACCGTGTCTGCCATGCTATGACAGTTGGATAAGTGGTTAGGAAAACACTGATAGATGGCCTGAGATCTGCCAGTTATGACGGGCTAATCACACAGAGCAAATGTGTTGTTATTCTAAGGTGAACTGAGCCTAAGCACTGAGGACTCGATGAAGGCTATAACTATAAGGCTATAACCTTTTGTTTTGTTTTTTTTGTAAATATTTTTATTGAAAAAAGAAAACAACACAGTATTTGCAGTTACGGAAATACAATTAACCGATACTTATATATATCTGCGAGAGGTTTGCTTAGCATAGGGGATCTAGCCTTAGGACCCTTAGGGCCCAGGCAGGAATCGAACTTGTGATCCTCTGCTCCAAAGGCGTGTAGTCTAACCACTATGCTGTCCAGCTGCTCGCTCTCTCTATCTATCTATCTATCTATCTATCTATCTATCTATCTATCTATCTATCTATCTATCTATCTATCTATCTATCTATCTATCTATCTATCTATCTATCTATCTATCTATCTATCTACCTACCTACCTACCTACCTACCTACCTACATACATACATACATACATACAGACACACACACACACACACACACACACACACACACACACACACACACACACACACACATCCATCCATCCATCTTCATCCGCTTTATCCGGGGCCGGGTCGCGGGGGCAGCAGCCTAAGCAAAGAGGCCCAGACCTCCCTCTCCCCAGCCACCTCCTCCAGCTTATCCGGGAATACCAAGGCGTTCCCAGGCCAGCCAAGAGATATAATCTCTCCAGCGTGTCCTGGGTCTGCCCCGGGGCCTCCTCCCGGTGGGACATGCCTGGAACACCTCACCCAGGAGGCGCCCAGGGGGCATCCTTGTCAGATGCCCAAACCACCTCAGCTGGCTCCTTTCGATGTGGAGCAGCAGCTGCTCTACTCTGAGCCCCTCCCGGATGGCCGAACTTCTCACCCTATCTCTAAGGGAGAGGCCAGCCACCCTTCGGAGGAAGCTCATTTCTGCCGCTTGTATCCGCGATCTCGTTCTTTCGGTCACTACCCACAGCTCGTCGCCATAGGTGAGGGTAGGGACGTAGATCGACCGGTAAATTGAGAGCTTCGCTTTTACACTCAGCTCCCTCTTCACCATGACGGACCGGTGCAGCGTCTGCATTACTGCAGCTGCAGCCCCAATCCGTCTGTCGATCTCTGGCTCCCTTCTCCCATCACTCGCGAACAAGACCCCGAGATACTTGAACTCCTCCACTTGGGGCAGGAACTCATCCCCATATATATATATATATATATATATATATATATATATATATATATATATATATATATTTATTTATTTATTTATTTATTAGTTTTTACAGGAGTTTAACAGTATAATAAAGGGTTGCCACTTGTGGAAAAATTTGGCTGTGCAACCTCTCGACATATATTTAATTTTTTAAATATACGTTAGTTAGTTGAATATAAATATTCAACTAACTTCTTAGTTGAATAGCCATGCATTATAAGAATACATAACTGATTTGACCTCACTTTCATGTTAAAGTTTCCAAAACCATCCAAGCCTCAAGCAGGCTGTTGTAACCCTGTTGTTGAATTCGTATTTGCCGAACCACGCGGGAATGAGGAAGACCGTACCCTCGCTATAGCCTGTTCACAAGACTCCTCATGTATTTGAATTCCAAGTCTCCTTCCCATGTACACTTAAGCTTAACGTTAGAGTGGTTACTAAAAGACAGGATAGTATCATAGAGTTTCGAAATGGTTCCTCTGTGATGAGGAATAAATGATAACGTAGTTTCCCATTGCTGTTCTGGAGGTAAAGAGGGGAAATTTGGGAAACTCTTGGCAACAAAATTTCAAATTTGAAAATGGCAAAACAAATGGGTAATAGGGAGATCGTAACGAGAAGACAAATTGGGAAAATTATCGATAACACCATCCACATATAAATGTTTGAACTGTTTTATACCCTTGTCACACCACACTGAGAATGTTGAGTCCAAGAGTGAAGGGGAAACAAATAGTTGTCGCTTAGAGGACCCGAGGAAGATAGCATTACAAAATTAAAGTGCCGTCTAAACTGAAACCAGATTTTGAGTGTGTTAAGAACCACCTGATTATCAGTATACAGAGAGGGTTTTACGGATAAAGAGGAATAGAGCAAGGCTGGTATAGAAGAGCCCTTACATGATGATAGCTCCAATTTACACCACGAGGAACCAGAAGATTTTAGCCAGTAGCAAAGTTTATGGATGTAAGCTGCCCAGTAGTAGGCTAGAAAATTAGGTAATGCAAATCCTCCACTAAATCTGCATCGCTGCAGTAAAGTTTTAGAAACCCTAGGTGGCTTCCCTCCCCAAATGAAAGAACCAATAATCTTGTCCAGTGAAACAAAGGCTATAACTTTTAATGTAAAGCTACTCTCAAGAACACATCTTATTAGCATCTGTTACTGGTAATTACAGAAAAAACATGAAAGGAAAGAATAAAGATTTTTACCCACTTAGCTGATATCAATCATTGGTCTATGAGAACAGTTAACTGAGATCCAGTGCTTTCTGGTTTGTATAACCTTTCTCTTCATATTTGAAGTGGGCAATAAACTGTACATTAATCAATCAGTGTCCCTGTTGCACGGGCTAGACATTTTTTTTTTGGCCAGACACCATGCACTATAAGTAACATTAGGCAGTTAGCACATGGCAGACATTACCAATGACCTAGCTCATCTTTCCAGTGCAAAAGCACAGAAGCACAAAGAAAAATGTCAGTTCAGCATAATTTATCCCTTTACTATAACCCTGCAGTCCTGTAAAAACTAACACCCTTACTGTAGGAATTAAGAGGGTAGGTAGCATTCAGGGACTGATAATCAAATCCATTTAGTTTTGGTTTGATCATCAGCAAGTGTGAGCATCTCTATAAAAGCATAGGTTTTAGCAGTTTGCTTGTCTGGAGCATTCAGGTGTATTTTAACATGATGCCAAGGAAGAAAGATGTCAGCAATGATCTTAGAGAAGCATTTGTTGCTGTTCATCAGTCTGTTTATAGTTTGCTCATTCTACAGTGATTAAAAATTATTATAAAATGGAAAACTTTCAATCTTCCCAGGAATGAATGTGCCTGCAAATTCACACAAGACCAGAAGAAAGCCTCTTTTCTCTAACACAAACATGGCAGCACAGCTTAGGTTTGCCAAGTTGCATCTGAACAAACCAAAAGACTTTTGGAGCAAGGTTCTTTGCACAGAAGAGATCAGAATAGCCATAATGCGTAACACTGTGCATGGAGAAAATCAAACACAACTTGTCAGCACAAACACGATGGGGAAGGAGTTATGATCTGGGGTTGTTTTGCAGCCACAGGACCTGGTCACCTTGCAGTCATTGAGTTGATCATAGACTTATCTGTGAGGCCCTCTGTCCAACAGCTAAAATCTGGCTGATGCAACAGGACAATGATCCCAAGAGCAGCAGCGAATCTACAGCTGAATGTCTGAAAAGTAAAACAATCAAGGTTTTGCAATGGCCCAGTCAAAGTCCAGACCTCTACCTAATGGAAATGCCACTATGCATAAACACATGCCTGAATCATGTTGTTCACTTAGGTTTTTATACACAATTTATCCATTTCTGCTTAGTTTTTGTTCAAGGAAAAAAATCACACAGTGTAAGATGTGTTGTTGTTCATCTGATGTTGTTTTTGAAGTTTTTATTTATGTCCTGATCTGCAAAAGCTTAGAACTGATAGATGGGGCACTTTCTTTTCACAAGTGTAGGCTGAGTGGTGATACAGGACTACCGGCCTGCACAGAAGCTTTTTTTGTGGTTTTAATGTGATGTTACTTTAATGATGATGTTTGATTGGATCCTTTCTGCTTTTTCCAATCAGAGAGTGGTGGGCGCAAACTAAATGAGAATAAGATGTTGACTTCTAAGAAAGCCAGGTGAGCGCCATCAGCGTCTCTATTTTCACATAGAAGACCTACATACTTTCTCGCATGAAAATCACCATTTTAACTTGCTAATTCATTACAGCCATGGCGCTAACTTTACTGCATCTGTAGTTATGTGTCTATAATTCTTTCCCATGGCAGGTTCGACCCTTACAGCAAGTCCGGCTTTGCTATCTGCAGGATCTGCAAGAGCTCAGTTCATCAGGCTGGATCACACTACTGCCAGGGCTGTGCATACAAGAAAGGTACAAAGTCGCACTGCTTACCATGCAGGAATGCTACTGTGGGTCCAAAACTTGAATGCATTTATTGCTTTCAGCAGATTCTAACAAAACTGCCTCTCTGCATGATACACAGATCAATACACAGATGTTCTTTGTAAACATTATACTTGTAGTCTTGCTTTTCTTCACAGCTTTAAGCTCTGAAAACCGTTAAGCAACTGCTTCTGACACATCTACTTATTTTTCTTTTTTTGTCTTTAAATTGAGGCAAAAATGCTCAGATTAGGATGTGGCAATAGCTGGGAATGTGAGAGGACTCTGACCTGCGGTGGGCTTTTCCCCCTCTTTAATCTATTTTATATCTACTAAAGGTCTTGGACTAGATCTTTGTTCTTGAGTCAGTCAGATCAATGAGCAGTCCCTCTTCCGTAGTTCTGAAGTCAGCATTTGCCTGAGTGGTCTAAGATTTAATCTTTCAAGAAGATTAGTTTAACAGTTCAAAGGTAGCATGGCTGACAGTGCTAGCTGTTTACATTAGATAATACAAATGACATTACGTCTCAAAAGGTATAGATATGTTGATCTTCATGTTACTTACATGGTCCAGTGTGGCTACAGGTTATCAGGCCAGATAAAGAAGCAAGGGGCAAATATAATAACAAATACAAAGGATGAGTAGGGCAAAGTACAGTGCATGACAGCTTCATTCCCACGTGGTTCGGCAAATACGAATTCAACAACAGGGTTACAAAAGAACAGCCTGCTTGAGGCTTGGATGTTTTTGGAAACTTTAACATGAAAGTGAGGTCAAAACAGTTATGTATTCCTATAATGCATGGCTATTCAACTAAGAAGTTAGTTGGGCCAGATTTTCAAACCGAGGAATTTATCTGGGCCAGATACTTTTTAGCAGCCAGTAAGCAGCAGATCATGATCAATTTCAAAACCACACAACTGTATTGAAAAACATGTAATTTTTTATTCCTTTTTCCCCTGTAAATCTGGTGACCTCTCACAAATGCACACCAAAAGGTCCATTAAAAAAAAAAAAGGGAGCTATAACTAAACTATTTTTTTGCACATTTGAAATACTAATAATAAAAAAAAAAACATTTTGATAATTCCCTTTCAAATTAAAATAAATATTTTGCTGACCACTCACTTTTCCTGCCATGGATGGAGCCCCATCTGTCACAAGTAGGGCTGGGCGATCTGACCCAAAATTCATATCTCGATATTTTTTAGCTGGATGGCGATATAAGATATATATCTCGATTTTTTTTTTTTTTTTAAAGCCACAAGTTAAGAACAAAAAGAGAGTTCTTAGTCACACTGTGTGCCAGATGTCACACGGGCACTTTTATTTACATACAGCGTAGATGTACATGAAGAAATTACTCAAAAATAAATTATCAGCATTTATTAAATAATCATGGTCCATAAATAAAAGAAAACAATGTTGTTTTTGTGCATAACAAAAAGCTCACAATTGTGCAGTCAAAATGTAAACTAATAGACGCTGAGCATAATAACAAAGAGACAGATTTCACAGCTGCACCACGTCTCTGAACAGGTGCCATTTGTGGTCCTTATACACACACAGTACGTATCACTCCGCGAGGCTCCTCCTCGGTAGCCGTAATCCTCCGACAATCCATCAAGCGGTGCAGCTCCGTAGTTTAGCAAAGTCATATTAAAAAAAATTTTGACAGATTGCTGAGCGCTGTGTACCACATAAAATCGGTTCGCGGTCAGTAAGCACAACCAGAATTCATACATAAGGTGCACTGTCGATTTTTGAGAAAATGAAAGGATTTTAGGCCGTGCAGGCCGTGCAGCCCCTCCGGGCTGCATGTCTTTAGCGCGGTTAGCTCGTTAGCGCTGTTAGCTCGCTAACACGTTGACGCCGCCCAGCCCCACGCACGGTAACTCGCTAACGGAGATTTTCCGCTGTGTTCAGTGAAGGAGAGGCGAGTCCGAGTAACGTTGCGTAGAGACAAAAGTGGACGAAAGAGAGGCAAACCTGCGGCTCCACAAGTATAATTATAACGTAACATAGACTATATCGATATAAACGATATTGTCACATCTTATATCTAATATGAAAATATATCGATATTTTTTTAAAAACTCGATATATCGCCCAGCCCTAGTCACAAGTATACAGACACGCTTCATTTCCAGACCATTTTCCTCAAAAAGAGCTGAAATCTTCTCAAACATTATTTCGCCAGCTGTGTGTCCCTCTAACGGTAATAGCCGAGCAATTTTGCATCCAAAAACCAGACATATATGCACAACTGTGCAATATCAGTTCTGTCTGTGAACCCATATCCTGCTATAGACATTACATCAGTTTTCTTCAGGTCATCTAACAGCATTTCAAACTTGTCTGACGCCAGAACTTAAACTCTACGAATATTTGAACTGTCTGACAGGGGTACGCTTTAGTTTTTTCGTCACTTATCACCGCATCCACCACAGCCAGCATGCAGTATTTCACTGTTTCAGAATCTGTGAAAGGCCTTTTCTTCTTCGCCAAGAACCAAACACGAAGGGAAGCTGCTGCAGCTCTCTCTTGGGCTGTACAGGACCCTCACCATGGTAGTACAACTCCGGTTGTAAGATTATTAAACTCGCAATTAAACTTTGCAGCCCTCTCCTGAGATTGCTCTGGAAAGTTTGTGTAGAAAGTCTGGTGTTTGTCATTGTGGTGCCTTCGTACGTACCGCAACACACTCACTGCAAATTAAACAAATAGGTTTGGCATTTGGATTTGGCGGTAAAATGAATAAGTATTTGTCAGTCCAGGCAGGGTTAAACCGACAGTTTTCATTGTCAATTTTACACTTTTGGACTGAGAAAGACATGCTGTTGTCACATCATACGATGATAGTTTAATATGTTTACATCACGGTGTATTGTGGGTTAAATATTGCTAGGCTACTAGGAGTGTTGCATTCACAGTCTACACTACACTGTAGGAATTTTTAATTTTTTAAAATTAATTAATTAATTAATTTTTTGCGTTTTCTCTGTGTTTCTGCCAGGACCACAGGCAGGGCCACTCGCTGGTTGATTCTGGGCCGCCATTTGAATAGGCTTGTTATAATGCCTTGGAGAAGTTGTGCTTTTGACCTTCTGTTTTGGCTATCGGTCATTTCATCAGATGCCTCACATTTTCCTGGGGAAAAAAACTTTGAGGAAATATGCACTTCTTCATCAGAATTATGCAAAATTTTAGGTCTCTACTGTCATTTCTTATTTGCCTGCCCTTTGTGCTTTTTCTGTCATTGAACAGGGAAAATTGGAGAAAAACATGCTTTCGGCAGGACATTAAGAACTCGCTAGAGAAACAATAATGCTCCCAGATTTTCCACCAGATGCCTTTTGGAGTCTGGAACCCTGAGCTGGGGCATATTGCAGATAAAAGGACCTCTGGTCTTCCTCAGGAATTGATGTGATCAAAAAGCATAGTTACAGGAGAGTTAATATTTAACTTAAACTCATCAGTTTGATAGACGGAGCTGATGCTGCTGTTTTCTGTTCACAGTTCAGTTCTGCTGCCCCAAAGAGGCCAAAAACCTCTGATAAAATAATGATGCTTGCTTAAACCATTTTTGCATTGTTCTTTTCTCTCTCTGTTGTGTCCAGGAATCTGTGCAATGTGTGGAAAGAAGGTTTTGGACACCAAGAACTACAAACAGACGTCTGTGTAACTGCATGCTGATCAGGGAGAGGCTCCACACGTGAATAACGGACTGAAAGAGAGGTGGCTTTGTTTGCTGGAGCTGTTACAGTGGCCATACGCAGGCCATCTCTAAATACACCACCCGTTATCGCTTGTTTCTGCAGTCAGCACTCTCAGACTTTTCCTGTATTTTAAATTCAGTTCTTTCCTTTTCAAGATGTTAATTTCTGTATGTAATATATGCCGTGTTGCTTTTGTTATGTGAAATAAAGCTTCCACTACGAGGACATCTGACCGGGTCGTTTTGTCTCCTTGCCTTCAGACATAAAGTGTTTAAATTTAGCCCGTGACGCACATTTGTCTCATATGCCTGAAATAATCAGTTTATTCTGACATAATCATATTTGGAAACGGTCAGGTGTGACCCCTCTGCCCCCCCCCCCATCCCCTCAACTGCTTTCAGAAAAAGAGGTTAGAGTTCATAAGCTCATAAGTTGATATTTAAAGGGCTCGCTCTCCCCCAGGCCTTTAGCAACATGTGCACATTTTTTTAACGTGTCCTTATTAATTTATACTGCCGGTCAACAAGATACAAACGGCCTTAGTTTCTGGGTAATCTACAGCAGGTAACTCTCAGATATGACTGATGTAAATGAGTCAGCTGTTCATAGCTATGTTTAGCAGAGCTTTAAAATACAAAAAACATTATCAAGAGACAGTTATATCATTCTGGACAGGGGAAATGTTTTAACAAATCCATGTTATTCGTTTAACTAAACCCAGGCTAAATGTATATATTCATAAGATTAAGTTAAATAAGTCGCATACTCGTACCTGGGTGATTTGGTGTGCCACTTTGTGTCTCAGTATGGAGACACAAAGTGGCTCTAGCTTTTAAAAAGTCTGGATGCATTCGTATTTTAACCCAGAGGTGATTACCAGACAAAACAACCGCTAAAAAGGAGAATATGTGAATGAGCAAGTTTGCTGCTCCTCCTGGCACAACGTTCCCATTTATCTGGGCTTGTGACGCCCTGAGGGTGGATTTGTATCCAATCCTACTCTCAAACCAGGGAGCTTTCATGTGTAAGATGAATCCATTAACCACTACACAAAGGACCCACATACAGTACATGCTATTTACTACTGCAAAATGAAAAAACAGTGTCCTGTCCATTCCCATATTTTTTAAATATATGAACAAACTGGAACTGCCAATTACACTTTAAAAAGAGAAGATTTCCCTCGTTTTATTGTGTTCGAGCCCTTGCTGGATGTGGCTCGTTATCATTTATCATATGTTGACATTCAAAGAGAAAACAAGAGAGAATATGGAAACATACCAACTGTTGGGGACTTTAGCAGCATGGCTGTAGTGGCAGAGCATCAGTCATTGGGTCACCGTCAGAGCAGAACCGAGGACATCTGGTTCACCTCACTTTACTGTCTCAGGGAGAGTAGCACAATCACAAAGTCACTTATGTGCACCGATTCGCTTACACTAGTACATACGGTGTCCACAAAACAGAGATTATGAACTAGGATCCGCAGTCAACCTGTTAAACTCCTATTTAAAACTATACTTTAATATAATATATATCAGTCATACACCTATAAACAGGCCCAAGTTTAGAGTCTATACAATACAATCAAAGCCAAAAAGCCTGCTTTAAACTACATCAGGAACCGGCCTGGGGAATGACAATGATCACAGACAAGCCTATGAGCTATGAGTTTGAGGCAGACTGTAAGACCATATAGGTAATGAACTCTCTTCCACAGGTGCTACTGTGTATTTAAGAAAGGGACAAAGCTTCATAACACAGTAATAACTGAAGAGCGTTTATAAGTCCAAATCAGCTGAGTTGCTCACAAATATCTCTCATTCATATATTAATAAGAAAATAGGTTTATACTAGATAAGAATTTATTTAACTTTGGCAACTTATAGCACAACTAAAAATATTTTCAGTGTTTCTAGGCTACTTATTGCCATTACTTTACTTGGGAACATGCAAATAAATATGGTATATGCTGCAAATACTGCATTTAATATACACCAACCTTAAGGCCGCCTATGTTATCCTGGCAATATTCTTTCATGCTAATAAAAAACTGACTTTAACTACTAATGATGACATAGGCCATGATAATTAACACCCATCTATAATAATATTGATAAAAAATACAATAAATGTGCCGACTTTATATTCAGCTTTAGCTTAGCTTTAGCTTAGCAACAGGGTCAAATTCTGACAAGCCACCTATCTAAGGTTAAAAAAAAACCCCAAAAAACCGATATAAGCCCTGATCAATCCTCTCTACATATTAATGAAGCAGCCAATGTTCTACCTTGTGCATAATTACGCACCCCTTTCCTATTGGTGACGCAGGCACTATCGATCCTGAAGCTGCCTATTTAACATGGGCGAGCAGCTGGAAGCATCGGACACGACCTGGGCTCCTGAAGGCTGCAGTCACCGGTGAGTCTTGCTTACTTCTTCTTATAGACAGATTTCTGGGCACTAAAAACTTTACTTTTCTTTCTCTAGTGTTTAGACCTGTGTTGGTGCAGAAACAGGGTCAAGGCTATTGTTAAGACTAAATAAGCAGTGGCGTGTCCAGCGGGGTGGCCTGGGAGGGCAGACTGGCCACCCCAGGTGCCACCACAAAGGCAAAACAATAAAATTCAATCAAATATCAAATGTACGATTATGTTTTAACGGTGAAGCTCAGATATCCGAGTGTAAGTGAATGCAGCATCGGCTTCTGCGCTATGTGCATCACGTTAGCAAAGGTAGGAGAGCCAAGCACGAAAGTAAGGAAGCGTAGAGCTGCCACCCAGGCAAAAGAAAAATACAAGTGTATCACGTTATAACGTGATACACACAAAGCTGGATTTATTCTGTCGTTACGCTGCACAGCTGCCTCTTCTTCTCTCATTCTCTCCCCCTGCCTCTCCTGTTGCTACTTCAATCATGAAACTGATCAGTGATCAGCTGATCGGCTTTTCTCTCTTGTTTGTTTATCGCCCACTTTGCGCCAGAAAGAGGAAACCAGCAGATGTCGCGCTAAACAACAGCTGCACGTTTAAGCTTGATCAGCTGTTGTTAGAATTTATTTAATATAAATTTCTAGTATCAGCTGATGTTTGCTGGAGCCACAGCTGCAAAAAAGCTGCTGGTCATGATATGGTTTGGTTATCTGGTGAGAGGGAAACATGAAGATGAAACCAGGAGATGTCCTTACTGAATCATCAGAGCTGAACAGGTGATGGAGAAACAGGTTTACCTTTTAGTTCACATGAATGAGTTGAAGGGAAGTTATGAACTGTTTCTGAGAGACAAATAACACCAGGATCCTTTTCTAAGCAGCTGACAGCTGGTAACTGTGCAGGGGCGAGTCTAGCAAAGTGTTGCCAGGGGGGCAGGTAGGGCATTAACAGGGAGAGGGGGGCACAAAGAAATACTTTTCTTTCTTATTCTCATTTAAAATATCTCGCTTTTATTAAATAATTATCTAAATCTTACAACCAAAGTTTTTATCTGACGTAAAATGTATAGAAATCATACATATACCAACAAGACTGTACATCACTGTCACAACAGGGTTTGTTTTCAGTCAAAGTCTTTATGGCTTTAATACCTGGTGGGCCGGTCTCTAGTCAAAATGCCCGATTTTCTGTCCCAGTCCAGTCCTGCAGGTTAATACTGGCAGTGTCACCATGCCAGCTGACTGTATTTCATCATCAGCCAGTGTTGTTCTTTATACATCAATATTACCAAAGTTTACCATAAGGCAGCATATAAAGTATTTACTTGCTTTCAGGTTTTATTCAAATGTTAGTCTTTTCAGTTGTTTCCCCACTTTTTTCCTGTTTCCAAATCAAACACCAGTTTGTGAGAAGATTATCTTCTTTTTTTAACAGGCACATAAAGTTTTACATTGGCATTGGCTAATTTGTCAATTGTTTGTTACAAATGTTCATATTTTAATATTCAAAAATGTTTTTGCCCAAAACATATGTGCACAACATGTCAGTAAAAATACTATGCAAATATTGATGTCCTTGACTGCTGAATAAACACTGACTGATTGTATCTCTTGTACTTTATCAACGCAGTATCTAAAAACTTTGCACCGTAGTGGTTAAAATCTCATTCTAATAAGAGTTAAAAGTGCATTCGGTTGTTAGGTTTATAGGGTTATTGAATTATGGTTAACGGTTGGTAGAATTTTTTTTAAACATTATCTGCCAATTACATCTGCCACCCTTCTCCAAATCTGTGCCCCTACCTGGCCCCCCCAACAAAAATTTTCTAGACGCGCCACTGTAAATAAGTACTAGCTTCTATTTTGTCCCTGAGATTTATTTCCCCAGCATAAAGTAGTGTTGGTGTTAGCAGTGGTAGCTTAGAGATGGCAAACCTACAATAAAAAGTAACATGGATTAACAACTCTGTGCACTGGGATGGTGTAGATTGTGAGCACAGAATCTCCTCACCAGGTTTCGTTTTGTTTCTGTAGTTTTCCGAGTGAGAGCCTGTGCTAAAGCTAGCTGTGCACCACTTCTTAGTTACCTCTTTTAGTTCTACAGAAATGTTTTTGTTTGTCCCATCTGCTCCAAGTAGCCCCGTTAGAGGTGCGCTTTGCCCCCTGTGGTCCGAGTCTTCCCGGTCAGCCGTTAGACTCTGTTCCTGCTACTCTTAGCGAACCTTTAGCTTCCGCTTGGTTGCTACTGCAAAGACTTACTGCTGATGTAGAAATTTAAATCTTTCATTACTAAATCACTTGACTTAGTTTTACTTCTAACTATGAAAGAATGTGAGGAGAATCCAGCTAAGGTGACACAGTGACCATTACAGATGTGTCTGAAGCCACAAGGCCCGCCCATAATGCCTAGGCTGCCGCCAATGCTGAAAATTCCCACCACAGTACCCAAATGTGCAATGAGAAC